ACAGCAGAAAGTGGTCTGCGCGAACATCAACATAATCACGGTCGAGCAAGAAATTGAAGACACTTTTTGGGTTCAGCGCATGCGTACATGCGTTAGCTCAAGATTATGTGTTTTGAAGAGTTTACACAGAAATTCTTTGCTGAGGCTTTGAACAAAGAAAGCCTTTCAAAGGTGGAGACACTTTTGATTACCAATTGCTTTTTTTACGAACATAATTTCACTCCAAATTTTAAAACTTACTTCGCAAAGTTTACCTAAACGTCCATGGCTTCATTTCCTCCCTCAAACGCATTCGAAGATCGAAATTGCATTGTAGATCGAAAATTATCTGTACCCACATATCATAACCAGGAGTTATACCGTGACGTCATATTCAATTTGGTGGCAAATATTTCGAGGAAAAACTACAATAGCAGAGCTTGTTTTCGAGTTACCACATTTTAAAATTGGATTTTATTAAGTGGCGAACGGCGCATTTCAAGCCCCAGCCAGCCCTAATTCGGTAAGACATGGGCAACGACATCACAATGGATATGTGGAGCGATGTAAATTGGATAGACCTGCGGGCGAAATTCGTTCTTTTTTGTGTGACAAATGGAGGGTAGAGGAGCTATAGGCACGAGCGGGTAAGATTTAATTGTCTCATTGCATCCATTATAGTATAGCGCGCCGGCGCTTCACTCGATGATTTATTTATACGCCTTTCCCCATGATAGAATACGAAATAAACCAACCCTTGTAAGCGGTGATCTCTTCCTGCACAACTGCATCCGGAACAGGAAGCAGTTGCTGTAAAATGGTTATACAGAGTTTATAACATGAATCAAAGACGCCATATTGGGTTAATTAGCGATTTGCTCTCGCCCTTTTCTTGCTCGCCAAAAGAGGGCGTTCTTTACCCCATTAAAAAGCGCCACCAACGTCGTGTGTTAACCTAATTACAATGAAACAATGTTGTAAAAATGGTTATACAGAAATGATAACATGGATCAAAGACGCCATATTGGGTTAATTAGCTATTTGCTCTCGCCCTCTTCTTGCTCGCCAGGAGAGGGCGTTCTTTACCCCTCTAAAAAGCGCCATCAACGTCGCGCGGAAGCTAAGTTACTATGAAACAATGTCTGCCCTTTTCAAAATTTAACTGGAAAATAGCTGTGTTTCTGAACCAAATGCAATCAGCAGTTCGAATTCTATTCGAAACAACGGACACTTTTTGGACCTAACACTACAAAATGAATCATAAGTAACCAGAACTACTTTTCGATAAATTTGCCTTTTCACAAAACCTTAATCAAAGGAATTCAATAGGAATATTTCCAATGATAAAACCCCTCACTGCAGTGTTTTGTGAGTAAAAAGAAAAATCATATTTCGCAAGTTGCTCATTCCTATAGCCAAATAAAGTGGTGAGAGCCCCTTTAAGCAGAGTTGAACTGTTGACAGCACATACTGAGTGAATTTTGACCCCTTTTATAAGGTGTACCACAAACTGTGATACTGATCGGTAACCAATTATTAAAAATGGCATGTTAAGATGCCAAACTTAGTGCAGAAAGAGCACATACTGTGCTTCGTAATGTATGTGAAAACTAAAAGTGAAACATTATCCTTTAAATCCATTCGGTAGGATCCGCTCACATGGAGCCAGAACATGAAAACAACAAGCACATGTCTAATGCCACATTTCATGATCTCTTAATTTTGAAGCTTTTTGGTCGAAGCATTCAAGTTCAACAGTCCACGATTGTACATCACTGATTGATCGACTTGACCGCAGACCCGCTCTTCATGTCTCATTCCAACAACAAAAAGGAGAAAAAAGATTGATTTTCCACGACGGTCGAACGGACAACCTTATTGATTCGGGCATAATTTGGCGTATCATATAGCATGTGATGACCTCGTTCGAAGCAAATTGCTTGAAATTTGAACGATTTAATCTCTCTGTAACCGCCCAAGCTTTTGTTCGCGTTGTTTCGAGCACAAGCACTCCTCGGGCAGTTATTAAGACTGTCACATAATGTTTTGAGGCTGGGAGACATATCGTTTTCATGGTTCTCAGTCTGTGGCGGTTGTTTCGTAAGTAGGCTGTAAATTCCTCCACATGATTCTGAACACTGACTACATGTGAATAACAAAAAATAGGAAATCCGTGGGCCACACGAAGGAGCGATTTGTATCTTCAAACAAGTTGTCAAATATTTAAAAGTCAGTCACCCAAAACAGGTCCTAAAAAACCACGATCTTTACAAGACAAGCAAAACTGCATTTCTTGTTTAATAGTACAGTACCACCAGTTTTAAACTATCCCCTAAAACATGAAATGTATAACGGCTGTACGATTAAGCAATTCCATTCTCCAAACATACAACCCGATATTTGAAAGGTAGTCATGAAAAAAAACACAGGACCAAATCAAGCAAAATCCTCACAAGACAAAGAAACATTCACATTTCAAGTTTAAAAGTAGAGTTTACCACTCTTTTAACAAGAAATCCAAGGGCTACACGATGGAGCAGTTTCCATCTTTAGACAATCCGCCAAATAATAATTGACAGGCGGTCACAGAAAACAGGACCTGAAACGAGCAACATTCTCACAAGACACGCAAACATGGGATTTCAAGGTTTCAAAGTACAGCACCACCAATTTCAAACTAACCCCTAAATCTGGAATCGTAGACCTGTTTTGAATGCGAGTTCGAGATTAACAGTACAGTACCGCTGATCGGAAAGCTGTTTGGATTGACGTTGTGTTCCTACCTCCAATCAATCCCGATCTGAACTGCTGTTGCCCTTGCCTTTCGATGAACAACACATTACCAATGCTCGGGTTCACTCGATCCGGCCCAATTAATTTTTCCCCGAATTGTTGTCCTTATCGGACGGCCGGTGGACGTGCCAGTGACGTTACTGACCTTAATATCTGACTGATCCCAAGTCTAATTGCTTCTCGGCTCTGCCTTCATCCGACATGTCACTTCAACCAGACAAACCTCAATAATCAGTATGATTAAAATGGCTCAGGACAAGCGAGATGATGTTTGGACTTTTCACATCTCATTTTGTATTCCGTACACAGACATAATTGTTGAATGAAACCATCACTCCTATAAATAACACGCACACAACGCAGCAAAGATGTCAGTGTGATGAGGCGATCAAACAAAGTCTGTAAATTCATTTGAGATTGACGTTTTCAGAGAAACTGAGTAAGCACCGTCGATGCATCGATATTACTCGATTATTCGATATTGGTGTGATATCGATATCACCGATTTCATTTTTTAATCATATCGAAATGTCGAAAAACTGAGTTATGCTTGAACTGTATGAAGTGCAAGGTCCTGAACAAAAATTCTAAAAATTTCCAATATTCTAAAACAGATGCAAAAATATCGACGAAAAATGTCAAATAAGGTTTTTGATACTTAGTAGCTCTTCTTTACCAAAACAAAAATTTGAATGTGTTTTCCAAATAATTTGTTAAATTCCCATTGAGGCCTTTTTTGACCGCATGCACTGGAAGTGAATGCACTTGCAGATATTGTTCATTTAAATTGCTTTATTCATGTTATGAAGACCGCTTACTTTTACCTGCCTAGTGTATAAGAAAGAGACGATTTAACATGCACCATAAGTGCGCATCTTTCCAGATGCTACGAAGATCTTTTCAGCCTTTGTCAAGACAAGTCTGTTATTGTCGATGATTTAATTATGTCCAATAACACCAGCAGCATGTTTTTAACCAAGTGAATGCAATTTTCCATTCAACTGCTCTGTTGTTGAAAACCACTCCTGCCGAGCAGTCTTCGATCCGAAACAGTCTTCTAATTTCACTCATGATCTAAGTCTTCAAAAGCACAGGCGTTGAAATAATCGTAGACTGAAACAGCCTCGAGCCAAAAGAGCCTTACTGTAAACGAAATTGATTTTTTGTTTTGTCCCTCCGATAGCTGCATGTATATACAGAAAGACCGCGACTACAGCGATCGAGGTGGGATCAAGGGGCGATGTTCGCCCGTCTTTTGGAGCACAGCTCCGGTAGGTACCTCTCGGCTTTGCCGCGGTCGAATTCAATTAATAAATCGGTCTTTTCATCTTTGTCCCCACCGGTTGCTGGAAATAGTTACTATTTACAATCTTGGCTATCAAGAAGGCACCTTTGCACCGTCTCCTTTGGGAAAAATGAGGACAACATGCCCTGCTGTCTGGCAGATGTCTATTTGAAGTCTGAATGAAACTGAGCCTAAAATTAGGTCTTATTGCCTCGCAGTCGGCCCTTGAGATCACACGAGTAGTTGTCTGGGATGAGTGGCCCTCCTCTCGTGATATGAGTTCAAAAGTCTGATTTTAGACTAAGCCGGAAGCACTTGATTACGTGCGGTTTGTGTCTTCCGATTAGGTATCAATTCTCGATTGTTACCAACCCCATATGACTCATGTCATAATGTGTCACAATATGGATTACATTATTACATTTAAGCCGCCACCCGACTCCCAGAATACAATCTCAGCAAGTGATGGGTCTGGATACATGAAACGGCACCATTTCCACAATACCAAAGTATTCTCATTTTCCTATTTCCAATGTCTTGTTGATCGAAAATGAACGGCATTACAAAGACAGATCAACAGCTTCAAACTTTCAACGGAAGAAAGACTTGCACAATCATCTACATTTCTTATAATGACATTTATCTACATTTTCTTAAAATCAAAGTTTTTTTTTACAAGTTGATAATGTTCTACTTCATACTATTGAGTAGTTAATAAATTTGGGTAATCTCCATCATGCCTGTAATTTCAATTGCAGAAACAATGGCAATCGCTACCATCGTACCGACTATTTTACCAAAACGAATTTCTGACACTGTTATGTGGACAGCCGACAGTCTGTGAAATTGCCTACAATCCTCTGAAAAAAATAACCGAAATTTACCAAACAACAATCAATAACACTGAGGACATCTTTCTAAAAAAAGATAAGATCGTACTTACCCTAAACTTGTACCACTACAGCTGATCCGCCGTTGATAAACTACCTGATCAATTGGTAACAGTGTGTCCACTCCTCTAGCATTCGCTGCACGATCTGTCTTGCTTTCCCCCGCGGTTCCTGAGCGAGAAGTGAGTCCTGTAATTTGACGTTACTGTCGTCTCTCGTTAAGCTCACACACTTTTAACCTATCAGTGGTGACACGGTCGTTTTTTATAGGTTCGGGTGGACTGTGCGGGCGGGCTGTCGCGCGCGCGCGTGGAGGTCGATGATAATGATGTAATTATTCTAGCAGATTGGCTCCAAAGTAATCGGCTATGCTAGTGCATGGCAGTGAAGATGGGATTGTTTCGTTAAAGTGGCGTAACGGAACGTATACAGTGCGAAGCCTGTGACGTGTTAGCTAGTGGAGCTCACCCGTGATTCAGCCTGTTCGCGGACCCACTTGGTTTGCATATCACGTGTTCAACGCCCGTGCGCGCTCTCCCATTGGCTGCTTGCCAACTTCGGGTTAAAAGTCACGCGCACTTTATTTGAATAACAAAAGGACAGTGATGAATAGCCCGGGCGCGCGTGTGTGTTCCTGGGTATCGGATAGCGGACGTCTTGGAAGCTTATTCTAGGAATGTTTTACCGGGAGCAGTATTTTGAACAAACGGAGTTTGAGAAATGATATTTTGAATGCCCCTTGAACGATGAATTGTGGGGTGGTATGGGGGAGGGTTTTTGTCCGTGCCCACCTGTTATTGATTTGCCCCAAAACAAATATCTTTTTCTTTTTTAAAAGAAAACGAAACCAATTCTGGAAATTTAAAAAAGTAACCTGTCATGTTTGTGTAAAACACAGCCCACAACAGGTGAAGACATTATGGCTTCAATTATGAAATAAAATTGTGTGGGGCAGAGGTGAGGCGATCAGTGGTTTCAGAGATGCGTCATTGCTTTCAAAATTTTGGTCGTGCTACGATTTGATCAACAGTTAAACCGAAACCTTTCCACTTTGCAGTAGGTGTAGATAAGTTTCGTATGACCACAGTTTCCCTCCATTAATATATGGCGTATTTTGACGGATTTTCAAATGTTTTAAAAGGCCAGGGAGAGGGCATGTGGTGTGCCCACCTTCCCCCAAAAAGAGTTTTAGAAATTTGGGAGTTCAAAGGATAGTGAAGGAAACTCTTTAGTTAACAAAAGCAATTCCCACTCGTTTTGCGGTTCCCAAAACTGTTTGTGCAAAGACAGCGCACGGTAATTGTTTTAGACGAGGAAAATATGGAGCAACAATACTCAAAGAGCAAAGCGAAAGGCAAAAGAGGAGACAAGTAAATTTGGGATACATGTTTTTTGGCAACACCTCTACTATAGGAAGCATCTTCTTTTAGGTGATGAAGCTTCCAAAACATAAAAACAGGTTTTACACTGTTCTGCCACCTCTTCATCACTTGTGCCTCTTTTTCATATTTTGTGTTTGCATTTCAGAATTCGTCTGGAGATTTTGAGGATGTCTTTCTTTGCAGCTGCTTTGAAATTATTCTTTCTTTTGTTTTGTAGGATTTAGTGCTGTTTTTGCATCAAAAGGATAACAGAGTTATTTTGGATTGTGCGTTTTGGTGGGATGCTACCGTTTTTCAAACCATTACTGGGGCGTATCTCCCACCCTCAATCTTAAGAAATTACGGTCAGCGTGACAGGAGGTTGGAGACGTCCAAGAATAAACGGTAAGAGAACATGTTTTGTAAAATGTCTCATTAACTTCTTATTAGATATTTTCAAAATATTTTAACCACTTCATGGTTACACGTTGATGTTGCTTTGGTTTTACGTTTAATACTGATCGTTAATGGTATCTTTTTTATTTTAGAATATTGGTGTTAACTTTATGTGAACTTCAATGATGTTATTTCGTCTAAATATTGAATATTTCATCTAAATATGCTCACTGTACCGTGATTGTTAAATAATCCATAAATAGGACTTAAGATGTACAATGGTTTAAATTTTGAATGAGACGGCAGCCTCATAACACAGTGTCATGCCATAAATAGCCGCCAAGACAAGGACACATTCAGTCGATGACTTTCCCGCCAATAAAATCTATAAACATTTTAAAATTAGATTGTCTTTGCGAAGACTTCATATTAATTGTTTGGTGTCCATGTAAAGTCTAGAATGAAGAGTGAATAATTATGAATAACTGAATAATGAACCATTTTAGTTGAAGGTGAAAGCAAGGTTATATGTTAACCCTGTTTGTTCGTTTGTTTTGGGGGGTTATTTTTGGGTGAAGAAGATTTTTTTGGCAAAGAGTAAAGCCCATAAATATTAATAATTATGAGAATGTGTAGGACCATTGCGACCCCTTTATTCTCATCTTTACTAGTTTTTTTTCTGAGCATGTATTCAATTTTTTTAAAACCATATTAGGAACCATTATCTAAATTTTGGCTCAATTTTAGCTTCGGATTTTGTCTCTGACGACAAAATCATATCTATAAGCCTTATTATTTTCACACACAAAAACTTGCTCTAATTTTTCGCCTCGCAGGATTCGAGGTTCGTCAAACAGACCATACACCCATATTCAGCCATTATGAAAGCAGGGTCTGCAAAACTAGAACCTGATGCCGTAGCTGAAACAAATCCGACGTTTTGAAACACCCGTTTACATTTTTATTGCTATTTCGGGTATCACCGCTCGTTTTCCAATAAGTCCCAATTCCCAAGTGAGAAACAAAAATGGACCTTGATCATCTTTCATGTCATCATCCCTTAATATCAGCGGATCTTTTTGGTCCCGCTGTATGCGGCTGCGGCCCATCTAAGACAACACACGGGACAGCGCTGGGCCAGCTGCATCGCGCGACTGGACTTCCTTATCATCAACCCCGGTCTAATTCGGCCGGACCAAAATTGCAATTTGCTATTTATTCCTCCATTTCTGTCGGCCGCTCATCCCGCTTGAAATGAAATTAATTTGCGGAGCAGCTTTTTAATCCCTGGTATTAGAAGACTTTTGTTGCTGTTGAATAGTCAAGACAAGTCATGGCTACATGGGATTGTTCTTGGGTTATCTTGAAAGGGTAGGCCTAATCGAGAAATGATAGAGGATTTTGAAATTATAAACTTGAACTGCCAGTATGATTGCAATTTAAAGCATTTTGAACAGTTTTCCATATTTTGTACTCCTGAAATCATGGATGACGAGCGTCATGATGTCAAGTCTCTGAAATCGTCTTTTGCAAAAGTAACAACGTTGCAGTTTTCGTGAAAGCGCATTGAAGACATGCATCCAGTGGCGTGTCCAGAGGGGGGCGGGGTGGGGGGCACCTTGCCCCCGGCGGATATTTAAAACATATGTTTTCATTAACTATTTTAATAAATTGTTATAGAGAGCTCTGAGATGAGCACAAGAAAAGAAAACCAAGCTCCAAAACCATTTCAATGCGCCGTGAAAATCTGCATATATTTTCCAGTATGCATAATGATCATTGAAGAGCACCCCCATGTGGAAAATGGGGACCAGCCAAACCCCTCCCCCGCCTTTTTTATATTTATGTGCGATGCGGTTGCCCCCTCCCCCCACTCAAAAGCTGGATACGCCACTGCATGCATCTCAAAGCTGAATCAATCGAAGACTGTCACTAATATATATCGGCGAGTGTCATTACTACCCGGTTTTAAACGTACTTGTTTAATACCGGCCAAGCACATATTTTTCCCCATTTATAAATACCTTTCGGTCAAAAAGTCAAAATAAGTAACAAAATCAACTAATTTCCAACGATTTTGTTCAACAATTTTACCTCATGTTTTGTGAAGTACCTCGCTGGCCGTGTCTATGGTATTTGCCTCGCGTGCGTTGTGCTAACAAATCTCCTTATATGGAGATTTGCTCATTTATCTCATTTCTGCAAGTATAAGGTAACAATGAAAAACTGTTAGCCAACCTTTAACTATGCCGACGAGTACCGACGAGTTCGCAATTTTTACCGTGCCTAGAAAATTTGTATGTGCTTTTGATTCACGTTGCATTTCATTCTAATGAAATGTCCATGGAAGAAAACTGTAAAAGCTGCCTGATGTGAAATTCGAACTTTGAACAGCTCAACCCCATTTAGCTGATGTGTATTATACATTCTTATTTATCTGGCTCAAATATACTCTAAATTTGATGGAGTGTTTTGCTTTATAATGCGGCAAGGCAAACACCTTTACATCTAACTCAACAACGATGATTGAGCAGAGATTCCGTTGGTAAACAGAATAGAAATCGGCCAGTCGAGTACGGCAAAAAGCACAACGGCGAGACGCGAGGATGTTTGCACTAGAAAGCAGAAGGTCGGGGGTTCAGATCCAACTGGAGTACTTTTGTGCGTTTCGCTGGTATCTTTATAGAGCTATTTTATGCATGCAGCCATCTTGGTATGACATCATTATGCCGCAATGCAGTGTGGGGCGGACTTGGTCAAAACTGATCGAATCACTGATCTACGTGTAAAAAAAAAAACAATATAGGCTCTGGCGAAAATGCAACGCCGAGAGCACATATGGAACACCATACTTTTGGTAAATTTTGGGAAAATTTCCTCCATCTGGATACCGTCCGACCACTACACACACACAAATACCACTTGACTGTAGCATTACTGCACGTATTTTGCCTCCATTTACAAAATTTGTATATATATTAACAGTGTATATATATTAATTTTAATTTGTGTGCTTTTGTTTTGGAAATTTCAATTTGGTAATAATGGTTAATCGGAAACTAAGGGGACTTATGTGGTCAATTTTCGGGGACAGACATATGCAAAATTCACGCGCATCGACCGAAAAAAAATCCGCGTTCTGTAAACTTTCGTAAAGAGTGCATTTTCCGACGATGGCATGGCGTTCATTTTGGGTCAAATATTTTTGGTCAGAAATTCTGGTAATTTTTGTCCTGAATTAAAGGTACCGTTGAGGTTTCTGCCTGAAATGACATCACACTTGTGCTCATGAAATTGGAAATTTCATTTGCATAAAAACCAAAAAGGCACAAAACTTACCTTAAAAATGGCAAAACAAAAATTGAAAAAAAGGTTAAATGGGGCGCAAAGGTGGATTTTCACGTATTGCATTAAACAAACTTATACATTGAATGGGCCCTTTAAAGGTTTATTTCAGTAGGATTCGGCTGACAACAAAATGACAACTTGATCACGATCGAATGCAGACCGCCCGATTTATGATCCTTTCCACGAATCAATAATGTGATTGATGCACACTGGCAGCTTCATTCCGTAT